ACGGAGGCATGAGAGGAAACTGAGCAGGAGTGGAAATTCTCTTTGTTCAGCGCCCATGAGCATATCCAGGTGCTCTATCTGAGAGAGGCAACGGCTGCTGGTTGCATCCATGGTAGCAACCTGAATCAACCGCAGCTTCTTAAGATTTGGAGCCGATGACATGTCAGGAAGGATGGTGCTGCTGCTGTCGTTTCCCAAGCCTAAGGCTTCCAGACACCGTGGCAGTGTTTTTATTGTCTCCTTTAGCTGATAACAACCCCTCAGATCCAGCTCGCGCAGATATGAAAGGTTTCCCATGGCTCGAGGTGCCGACACGAGCATGACACACATGGGGGCAGTGAGAGTTTTTAGGCGGCTCAGCTGGGTGATGGATTCTGGCACCTCTGTCAGATTAATAGTGGCTCAATATCAACTCGCGCAGTTCACGCAGCTGGCCTGTACCCTCTGGAAGGCTAGCAATAGTAGGGCACATGCTGATTTCAAGCCGTGTCAGAGAAGAGAGACGACTGAGTGACGATGGCAGCTTCTGCAGTGCACGACACCAGTTCAGCTCCAAAGTGCGGAGATTGGTCAGCTCGCCTATCTCCTCCGGGATTGATGACAACTGTAAATGCCTGATGCTCAATAATTCAAGAGCAGCCAAGCAGGATATTGCTGCAGGGAGGAAGTCAATGTTCATAGAGTCAATGGACAGCTTCTGAAGCCCTGTGAGTAACCCAATGGAATCGGGGAGTTTCTCCAGCGACCAGCTACTCAGCACCAAGGACTTCAAACTTGACAGAACTCCGAGATTCTCAGGCAGGCTGGTTATACTGCAGTCGGAAAGGGTGAGAACTTCCAAGGTGCTGATGCTTGCGAGGGAATCTCCCGACTCAGTCGAATCATCGTCGATTTTAGAAAGGCAGAGTTCGAGAAGTGCCGGGAACCGCTCGCCAAGACCCTCATGGAGGATGTTCGGAACATTGGTAAGCAGTAAGCGTTGAAGACGGAAACACGGTGACTCTGATGGAAACATTGAAGGGAAGTCTCTTGACCCCCGCACGAATCCCAGCGATCGAAGAGCTGTCAGTTGCCCGAACGAAAAACCCCCTTCGAAATCACGGAACGACGCCTCTCCTGGAAAGAACAGGCTGGTCAGATTCGGAAGGCCGGTTAACGATGACATCTGATGCAACCGCATGTCCCGTTTCTGAATCGAAAGCTTCGTGAGAGAAGCCAGATTGGCGAGGTTGGGGTCCTTCAACAACGATATCTCCCCAAGGGACAGCGTGTGCAGCCGCGTCAGCTGAAAGAACGAAAGTGGAAACTTTGTCTTCCAATGGAGGCACTGGAGTGACAGCTGCTCCAAGCGGCGACAACCGCGGAAGAGAATATCCAGCCCAGCTGACGTGACAGGGTGATCTGAATCATTGTGTATCTCCTCCTCGCCATACCGGAAGCGGTTCTCCGGAGCAATGCCTGAGCCAACATGAAGAGCGGTTAGGTTCGGAGACGAAGAGCCGAGAAATGCAAGAAAATTGTCGTCGATCGTTTCCATGCTTCCGTTGCTCAGGTGCAGGTGAGTGAGATTTGGGAAGGACTCCACAACGCGTTTAAGATCCTGGCGAGACACGAAGCGATCTGGAGAAACATGAAGGGTTGTAACGGATTCGTGTGCGAGCTTCCGCCAGCGAAGGCAGACCGAGGCGATGAGGAGAACGTGAGCGACATTGGTAGAGGCGCGGGGCGTCGAAAAATGCGGATCATGCTGTCGATCTGGTTTATCATCCCCATAGTAGTCGAAGAGAGACAATGAGGAGGTCGGCCGGTCAGAATGCCAGAAGATCCTGGCAAGAACATCGTCAGGAAGAGAATTGATGCTTGTGAAAAGCGACATGCTCTGAAGTTGACCTGTGAAGGCTGAGATTTCTGAGACAACGATCTGACACCAAAAACTGAAGCTGGGAACATATTTCTACCATTTTTTAACCACCGTAAGAGAGGGATCTGGTGAGACAAGAATATGTCGCAATGGCTGTCGGACCAAGCTAACGGACCTTATCAGGGACGGACCATGCAGTGCTGGTGAGTAACCCCGGCATAAAAGGAAATGAAGGGGGAAATGAGCAGAGAGACTTGGAACCGAATTGAGGAGGGTGCAGCAGAGAGTGGAAACGTAGTGTGGAAAAGAGTGGAAAGTATTTGAAAAGGGTGGAAAATATTTGAGAAGGGTGGAGAAGAATGGAGAGGGGTCGAGAATCTGCCTGACGAAGAAATGATTGAGGGAACGTTCCTGGCCGGTGTCAGGCAGGCTGACACGAAGCTGTGAAGGGTCTCGATTCGATTGAGGATGATGTGGAGCGATCGCAGCCGTCAGTAGCCTTGTGTCAGGCAACTTGACACCGGCCAAGAACGCACCCTGAGATGAGGGAAATGAATTGGGGTTCGGTTCGGATCGGACCTCGGTCAGTCCGAAAAGGATCCAGCCTTGTTTGGCTGGATTCTGCTCTGATCAGGCCCAGTCGGACCACGCGCCTTTGGGATCCAGGGGATGTCCGGGTCAACATCTACTGTTCATACACAAGGTCGTGCTCAACCTCCGAAACCAACGAAGGTCACCTGCGAACCCGTTCTAGCCCAATCGGGTAACCATATTCCCAAGGCACGAACACACTGTGCGAAGCTGAAACGAGCCTTCCAAACGATCCAAGGAACAACCCGCACAACCTAGGATTCTCCATCGCGAATCTGCCGGTTCATCTTCGTCTGTTTGCCGGTTTGCTGACAGAATTCTTTCCCAGCCACAGATGTGGCTCGCCAATGCCGGTGCGTCAATTTTGCGATCTCGTGATGTCGCACGCGATTCTAGCCAGCACCTGGCGACTGTCCACCCAGTTCATCATCCCCTCCACCGCTGGCTTTCAAGCCCTCCACATTCTCATCTCATTTCCATAATTCCGTTCCCGTCTCATACTTTAGAACCTCTTGGGTCGATTTAGTCTCAATAAGACTTTTTCAACAGCGTCAGCAGCGTTATACAGGTATCCTTGCATGTCTGGTTTGGAGTCAAATCGATTCGCCACCTCTCGCGCGTCAACGTTTTTCGTCACACCCCCAGGTGCGCGGCTTCCCGTATAGCCATAAAAATACGTGACACGGCTGTATTCTAATGACTTCAATGTTCCAGGCTTAACATGGCTGTGAAAGAAATGAAGGTTCCATTATGGGCGTCGTTTCTTCTCATCCTGTAAGGGGCGTTGTTAAACGCCAATTTTATTTTTTCGCCTTTGCGTAATCTTCAGTCAGCTGTTTATCCCGCCACGCGCCATCTAGACAATTGGTCAGCTTGTGATTCATGTCGCGCCTCGCGCCATGCGTAGTTTTTCTTTCTCAACCTGATCACGCCAACCTCATCGTTTCAGAATCCGACACCACTATTTCGGAAGAATGGTGTCGGCTATGCCTTCGCCATCCGACCCTGCGTTTTCCTCGCCAGCAGCTATTCGTAGTAACCCCGGGAGAAAGATTCTTCAATCCGCCGCCCCTCCATGTCCACCTCCAGGCGTTCTAATCGCGTACAACTACCGCCTCTATTGCATCACATGCACTGTAGATCAGGATCTTATAACGGGAGACGATTTCCCGTGGTGCCGTGCAGTCGACTGCAGCACCAAATACGGTCCTTTCAGACCCATCTGGAACACCTACAAGAATTTATGCGAGGCTCCCCTTTCGCCCTCCCCTTACTCAACTTCTTGCCTCCCTGGGTTCATCTGCACTTCTCCTCCCCCGCCTAGCCCCCCTTCCCCCTCCCTTCCGCCCTCCCCCTGGCTCCAACCGCAAATCCCTCATTCCGTTCCCCCTTCATCCCCCTCAGATTCCACTCCATTCCCCATTCCCGCCTCCCCCCTTCCTCCTACTGGCACGTCCTTTCAACCTCCTCTACCAGGCTCACCATTCTCACCTGCTACACCCACATACCCGTTACAACCACCCTCGCCACAAGCCCAGGCCTCAGCACCACCTCCCCCTCCTCAGCCTCTTGATTGTGGGCCCCACGGAACGCCAACAGCCCCTGGCAGCAGCCAGTGCATCTGTTCCCAAGGCTGGACTACTGACCCAAACCAGAGCCTCGGACGAGCCTTCCAGTGGTGCACCCTACCTGAAGGAGCGACGTCATTTCCTTCGCCGTTTCCTTCAGATTCCGGACCTCCTGGAACCATTGGGAATGATGGTTCTGGGGTTGTTAAGGGTCCTGGCACGTTTCCCAGCTCAAAGGGGAACGAGGGACAAAGTGTGAGCAAGAATGGCACTTCTGGTTTGGGAGCTGGAATGATTGCGATTATTGTGGTTGTGATTGTGGTGATTGTGCTTGTATGCTGTGGTTGTGCTGTGTGTGGGGTGTGCATGTGGCGACAGAGGCAGGCAGAGAGGAAGGCCATGGAGGATATGCGATCTGAGGTGACTCGCATGACAATGTCCTCTTATGGAGGATCGTTTAGTGTACACCCATACTCGAAACCAGCAGGGGTGTTGCCAGATTTCGTTCCAGGTGTAGGGTATCAAACCCACAAGGCAACTCTACCTTGTGACTTGCCACCAGCCAGATATGGTGGCTCTGTGGTTGAAATTGGAGTTGATGGGAGGGGAGGGTCGGTTTCAATGCCTTCAAATCATCCTCCTGCAAATGGAGGTGCTGTACAGAGAAGGCCAAGCTTAGGATGTAACGAAGTACAATTCTAAACTAGAACTGTACATAATCTGAATAATGTAAAATTTCAACAGACTTTCCGTTTTATCGTCAAGCGACGAGTTCAGTGGTCATGTACCGGTATCTCACTTCAGTTTTTGCGGAAGCATCCCCTATCGCGCAAAATGTCGGCCAGTGCAGTTGTGGAGCAGAACAGCACACGTCACTCCCAGCAACCTTTCATTACCTACGCATTCCGTACGCCTTATCAATGCACGGTTTTAGTTCCCGCACAACCCTCGTAGCCTCAGTACGTCCACAGTGTGCGCGCATGGCTCCGTTCTCCGTAAAAAGCGCAGCATGTCCCTGGCAGCGCTTCGCTGCCGTGCAACCTCGCTTCGATCCGTCAATCACCGTCAGCGTGCGAAATCAAACTGCGGATTTCCCACGATCGCGTGTGCGACATACTGCGGATTTTCCACGATCGCGTGTGCGACATACTGCGTCGAGCAATCGCCCGAATCTGGAACGATCTGTTCGGCACGACAGGGATTTGCGATTCTTTTCACTGCAAGATCCCTTCTGCTCTCAGAGGTTCTACTCAAGTCCACCATTGTTTCAGACTTCTCAGAGGCTATTTTCTAGAAATCGCCTGTCCGATGGAGGCTCTGAGCAATTTACAAATCAAATGCCGTCTGCTGGTCGAACGGGTTGCACCTGCCGAACGGCTATTAGCGCAGAGTCGCGTGCTTATTACGGGAACTTCGCGCGTCCGAGAAGGCGACTGGCTCCCGCGATTTCAGCGCGGTTCGGCTCCGGAGACGATGCATCGGGACCTTTCGCCAAGCTGGCTTCTCTGATCCCGACTCCTTCAACTCCCAAGTCTCCCACCACGGCGACTCCGACTCGTGAATCTTCCAGCACGGGGAAGGGGGAGAGTGTAACAGGCGATTTTGCAGCAGAAGAAGCAGAGACGCAGGTCGGACAGCGTGCTAGGGATGCTTCTGATACAGGGATGGACGGCGGAGCCAGTGCTGGGAGGGATTCAAGTAGCAACGAGCTGCAGCAGCAGCAGCAGCAGCAGCAGCAGCAGCAGGCGAAGAGACAGGAGGAGCAGGTAACGAAGCGGACACAGCAGCAACCGAAGCAGCAGCAGAAACAGCAGCAGCAGGTGGAAGGAGAAGGGGGCTCGGCAGGGGTGAGAGGGGGTTCACGGCTAGAAGGAGTGCGGGGGGATGGCAAGGGAGGAGCAACAGGTGCCGAGGGTGATTCTAACGGTGGACTCCCTGGGAATCGTCAGAAGCGGCAGCGAGGAGAAGTGGCAGCAGGGAGCAGTCAGGGAGGGGTGGGAGCAGTAGGGCAGGAGCGAGGGGCGAAGTCAGGGCAGAAGGAGAAGCGAAAGGGGCAGGCAGGAAGCGGGTTGGGGTATGTGGATCAGCTGCGGATGCTGCAGGCTCAGATGCAAGGAGCAGAGAGTAAACCAGCGGAGATTAAATCAGCAGAGGTGAAATCAACGGAGAAGCAGCAGCAGCAGGAAGTGCCTTTTGAGTCGACTCAAACGAGACACGGGACAGACGGCAGGAAAGTAGAAGTACCGGGAGGTAAAGCAGCAGAGAGGCAGCAGCAGGACGCAGTACCAGTGAGTGGAGCTGCTGGGGAAATAGGAGAGTCGAAGGCGAGAAATGTACGACACGGAGTTGGCACAAGTAGGAAGGTGCAGGTGCAGGAAACAGAGGTGCGATACCCGTGGGATGATCCCGATGAGCAGGATGAAAGGGGGGAGGATGAGAGAGAGATGGGAAAAGGTCGCAGGGTTGAGAGCGCTGATGAGAGCAGTGTTGGGGTTGGTGCTGCGAGCAGAACCGGTGTTGGCAGAAGCAGAAGAAGAATAGAGGCGGAGAGAGGAGAGGCGGACAGAGTAGAGGGGGAGAAGGGAGAGGAGGTTAAGGAGGAGAAGGGGAAAGGAGAGAATGTGAACGGGTTGAGGGCGGATGAAAAGGGTGCAGGGGTTGGCAGCACAGCAAGCAAGAGTGGGCGGCTTGGGGAGAAGGCGAGAGAGGGGGGTGGAAAGGAGAGTCGGGGTGCAAGAAAGGGCGAGGAGAGTGGGGGTGAGAATAAGGAGAGTGGGCGAAACAGTGCATCCGCATCCAGATGGGAAAGAGGCCGCAAAACGGAAGAGAGGACAGGCACTAACATGGAAGTTGAGACTCAGAACGAGCAGGAGAAGCAGCAGAATAAGAAGCAGCAACAGGAAAAGCAGAAGTTAAAGCAGAAGCAGAGAACCAGCAGTGGCAGTCAGAACGGCGGCAGTTCTGGTGGTGGTAAGGCAGGCACTGTGGCCGCTGGTGCTTCTGGCAGCGTAAACACCAGGAGGAGTTGGAGCAGGAAAAGCAGATCTGGGAATGCCAGTGGGAACGACGGTGATAGTGACAGCGATAGTGGAAGTGAAGGGGATGGGGATGCAAAGAAGGGCCTCATACCAGGCACTGAAGACAACGATTGGAAGGAGATCTGGTCTTCAATAGACAATGAGGTGAATAACGATGGTGGTGGTGGGCTTTCTGATGGTTCATCCTCATCTAAACCTCAGCGGAAGCTGCCACCAATCACAGGCGAGATGGTTCTGGCCGGCATGCAGAGAATGGCCGAGGAGAGAGCTGCTGCTTCTGCAGCTGCAGCCGCCGCTGCTGCTGCCGCTGCTTCTTCTGATAGCGAGGATGAGGAGGAGGAGCAGAGGAAGACGAAGGGGGTGAGGGGACGCGGAAGAGGGAGTGGGCGGAATGCTTTGAGTTCTGTGGGGTTGGATGATTTGGAACCGATAGTGGTGAAGGAGGAATGGGGAGTGGAGCTCGGGAGGTTGTTTGCTAAACTAGAGCAACTTACGAATAGAGGCTGAAAGTATCATCTGAGAAAGAAACTGGAAATGGTGAGTAACGTACACCTTGGTAAAATTACTCCATATCAATGCAAATGTTTAGTAATGCAAAACATTGATGTGAGTGACACTATGCCTGGTGGGAACGGGTGTGGAAGGCCATTATCAAAATAATGTTTGCGAAACAACTAGAACCTTCATGTTCATGTTCGACTTTTTCGACATCGAGAGGTTGCAAACGGGTCACACATGCTCACCATCCGATGTAATTTCCCGCCCATCGTTTCGAGGACATATAGCCGTCGATTTAGCATCTTCAAAAGGCAAGGAAAAGATTCCGCCACCGACCAAAACCAAAAAGTCCTTCGAAGAGTTCCTGGAAGGTTCTTTGTGATGCCTGAGTTCCTGGAACTCTCTTCTCCCTGTGATCACCTGCAAAACCAGGCACATGGTGCGATTTACCTATTCATGTGCCTACCTCCCCTAGACGAACCCTGGTTCTGCCCACCTCCCGCACCGCAATCATGCGTGGTGATTGGTTTCTCCTTCGGGAACAACATCTACTGTACATCCGCATGGTGTTCCGACAAGGCGGCTTGCCGCAGACAAACTTTGTTTTTGTTTTTTGTTTTTCGCCAACCTGGGTTCCCATTTCGCCGGGAAATATTCCGAATAGTTCTAGAACTACGGGATATCCCTAAGGGCGCGTTCTTGACTGCTGACACGAAGCTGTGTGAATGGTTGAGATTTGTACGATGCAGATGTGGAATGGAAGGTATCGTTGATCTCCTTGTGTCAGTGAGTTAGACACCAGCCAAGAACGCACCCTTAAGATTATGACAAGACTCTTGAGCTCACCGCAAGGTGATCCGTTTCTCCGCCGGACTTCGGGAACCTCGGAATACCCCCAGGAACCTCCGAATACCCCTACAATTATGACAAGATCCTGGAGCTCACCGCAAGTTGATCCGTTTCTCCACTGGACTGCTGTTCACATCAATCTCCATATATCTATCCGCCATCCCGTTGTCACCGCACTCCTAGAGTCGCCGCAATGTCGTCATGCTGCGGGCCTAAGGCTGTTCCTGTCCCGACTGAGGCGAAGCGCGGTTGCTGCAGCCCCATGGAGTCTAAGAGCACCTGCGCCGCTTCCCCCGCCGCTGCGACCGGCGGCGCCGGGAGCGACGTGACGCATGCTGACATCAGCGAGTATTACGGGAAGACGGTGCAGAAGCAGGCGGATCTGCAGACGTCAGCGTGCCTGGTGAAGGGCGGCTTGGGGGAGGACATTCGCCGCCTGCTCAGCAACGTCCACGATGAGATCTTGGCGAAATTCTACGGCTGTGGTTCGCCCATCCCTCCCCTACTCAAGGTACAGTGGTGTGAAAGTGAGGTTAGCCGTTCGTCGGGCCCTGATCTCCTCTCCTCACATCATCCCGTGTTCGCACCTTGCTCCGTTATAAGACATTCTAGTTGGTTGTTCGATCTCCCACCGTTACACATTTGATCTGGTTGTTACCTTAGCTTCTCGTCGAATCCAGGCTTCCTTCTGGTGCCAGCATGCTCTTTAACCTCTCTGGCTCTCTTTTTCCTCCGTTAAATTCCAACATGCAGCAATTCTCATCCCATACCTGGTTCGTCCCTTTGCTCTCTTAGTTCTCTCCCCCATCTCCTCCCCTCCTCCCTCCCCCTGCTTCCCCGCTCCTCCCCCCCCTGCTTCCCCCCCCCCCCCCCCCCCCCCCCCCAATTGCTTCCCCGCGCTCCCTCCTCTCTCCCGTTCCCTTTCCCCTCTACGCATTCTCTCCCCTCATCTCCCTCCCGTCGTCTTTTCGTAGTAATGTACGGTGCTGGATCTGCGTGCAAGTCGACTAGGTGACTTTTGAGTCGACTCAAAAGTCTTTTCGTAGTAATGTACGGTGCTGGATCTGGGTGCTGGATCTGGGTGCTGGACCTGCGTGCAAGTCCGACTCGTGTTGTCCTAAGAGCAACACGAGTTGATGGAAGCAAGGCCTCCGCAGTCCACCTGTCCAGCAGTTGATGGAGCAACACGAGTTACTGGCATGCCCTCCCTTCGTCTTCTCGTTACGGTGCGGGATCTGCGTGCGAGTCAACTCAAACGGACCCCCCTCCCTTCTCCCCTCCCTCCTCACCGCAAGGCTGCACGGTGCTGGATTTGAGTACACTCTCCTCCCTCTCCCCTACTCTCCTCTCTCCTTTCCCCTCTCCTCCCCTCTCCTCCCCTCTCCTCCCCTCTCCTCCCCTCTCCTCCCCTCTCCTCCCCTCCTCTCTCTGCTCCCCGCAGGGATGCACGGTGCTGGACTTGGGGTGCGGAACAGGGAGGGACGTCTACGTGGCAGCTCAGCTTGTGGGGCCCACAGGCCAGGTCATCGGTGTCGACATGACAGGTCAGCAAGGATATCAATGGGGGGGTAAGGCGCGAAAGGAACCGGGAACCGGGAACGAAGACATGAGGATGTTAGTGCGCAGCCAGCCATTCCTGACAGCCTCTTCTCTTCACCTCCCCCCTCCTCCTCCTTCCCATTCACGATCCCTAATTTGCAAAGGATTTTTCAGCATCCATGTGTGCCATTCATTTCTGTCACCCATGCTTTTCATCCACGTTTTTCAACAATCCCTGAGGGCAAGCACTCTGGTCTGGGATCCATGTTTTGTTCTCTCTTTTCTCCGCATCCCTAACCTCCCCCCCCCCCCCCCCCCCCCCCCCTCCCCCATCCTTTCCTCTTCATTTCCGCTCCTCTTCACCCGTTTCTCCCGGCATCGTCCCCTCTCATACGCAGACGAGCAGCTGGCGGTGGCACGGAAGCACGAGGAGTACCATCGGGAGAAGTTCGGATTTGCCCAGTCCAACGTGTCCTTCAGGAAAGGGTTTATAGAGGATCTCAAGGCTGCTAATGTCGAGGACAGGTGGGTGGCTGTGTGGGTGGTTAGGGGAGCTGGAGGTTGAGAGGGGTTGAGGCGGGTTCAATGGTAGCGGTTTTGAGGGGTAAGCACGGTAGCAAGGTTGGGGTTCGGGTGTTGTGTTGTAGCGAAGGAGATGGAATAAAGTTTGATTTTACCCCGTTCCACCCCCCTTTATCCCTCCCCCCCCTCTCAGTCCCTCCCTCCCTTCCCCTCTCTCTCCTCTCAACTGCGCCCAATTCACGCCCAGCAAGTTGCATGTTATCTTCCCTACTTCATGCCATCTCTCTCCCTTATCTTGTCCTCCCTTCTCCTCTCCTCTCCCCCAACAGCTCAGTGGATGTTGTTGTTTCAAACTGCACCATCAACCTCACGCCCATCAAGTTGCCCGTCTTTTCCGAGATCGCCCGTGTGCTCAAACCGGGCGGCGAGCTCTACTTCTCGGACATCTTTGCCGACCGCAGAATCCCCCAGCACCTGCGACAGGACAAGGTGAGGACGAGGAATGGATGTAGTTGCACGAGAGGACAAGTTGTCCCGTCCATTTGGAGCGGGTGAGCAGGCGATCACTCAAAGGAGTCAGCAACTTCTGCACATGTGCAAAGTTTCGAATGGTGGAGGCAGTGTGATCCCGACAGTGTGCCTCTTTGCTGCTCCACCCTTTTCCCGTACCCATCAGAGTCACCTCCTCATCCCGGTACAAGTTTTCATCCCGGTGCACTTGTTTTATCACCAGCTCCTCATCGCTTCTTGTGATGTGCTTCTGACAGGTTCTCTTCGGCGAGGGCTTCAGCGGTGCCCATTACTTGGAGGATTTCCGCCGCCTCATGGCCTCTGTGGGTCTGGGTGCGTGGGGAGTGGTGGAGGCTCGACAGCTCCACGTGGACAACCCCAAGATTGCCGCCCAGATCGGCCCGATCAAATATTACAGCTTCACTGTTCGGGGGGTGAAGCTGCCCGAAGGGGAAGGTGAGGACCTGCCCGAGAATTACAGGCAGACAGCGACATATTCTGGGTCTATTCCAGAGCGAGCGGGGAAATTCACCCTGGACGATGTGAGGGTGTTCAAGGCAGGTGTACCGACACCTGTGGATGCTACAACTGCTGCCATGCTGACGAAGTCTCGCTACAGCAGTGTGTTTACTGTGACTGAGAAGGGGGCTCACCAGGGGGTCTTCACTGGGTGGCCAAGATTTCCGGCTTCGGTTGCTGGTGCCTGGTGGTCTGCCACTGTAGAGAAGGCGAAATCTGGTTGCTGTTAAATTGACATTAAGTGAGCATTAGTGATGTGTTTCTCGCTTAATGAAATTGGAGTACTGAACTGAAGCCTGGGCTTCGGTAAAACTGCAAATACCATGTGACAGAAAAGGTTACAGGCAAGAACGAGAATTTTTTGGATGAATCTTGAGTCTTCCACTAGCAGTGGTGGGGTGGGATGTCAAATGTTCTAGCCGTCAGTGGATTGTGCAGTAGGGGGTACAAACACTTGGGGTTGGGAATATGTACCCCAATCCATTCAATGCAACTCATTCCACTGATTTCAGTTTGTGAGATGGCATCAGCAGTACCGTCATACCCCGGATATACCCCCATGGGGGGCAATAATAAAACGTGTTTTTCTAGGGGGGGTGGGCTTATAATCGAGTAAATTTATAAGCGCCGGCGTTTATAAAACGACATATATATTTTATATATTTTTTAACACCAAGCTGTAGTGTTAACAGAACTAGGCAAGAATGGGTGCATTGAAAGAAACAGTTGGGTACAAGTAGCTAACCCTAGTTGGGTTTGTACCCTGTATTGGCTACCCCACTACAGCCTACCTACATATAAATAACACATTACAACTTAACACACCCCCATAGGCAAAGTGGGGGAGAGCAAAGGGTCACAAGACCAGTCCAGCAAAGCAAAAACAAGCCCAGGGTGGATCACAACGTCACCACACTCCGAGCACAAACAAAGGCCACAAGGCCAGTTCACATGTAGTGCTAGATATAGAACAGGACAAGCAGCAAGACAAATATAAAGTACAGTACAAAGAATGTCAAGCAGTGAGCAAGTGAGGAAACGTGGACACAAGGCCTAAAGAAGTACAGTGCCGCTGATGATCACTAGGCGGGAGCGCCTTGGTGAAGATATCAGCAGTGTTGGCCTTCGAGTCCACGTACACAAGCCGAAGCTGACCGCGCTGCTGAAGCTCTCGAGCAAGAAAGTAGCGAAGAGCAATGTGCTTCGTCCTGTGCTCCAGTCTGTGCTCCTGACACAAGGCAAGAGCCGCCTTGTTGTCACCGTACAGAACTGGAGGAGAACTAGGCCGCTCTCCCAAGTCAGTCAGCAGGTAGGTGAGCCAGCGTAACTCCTGTGCAGCCATGGCTGTGGCGTAGATCTCAGCCTCACAACTAGAGCCGAGAACAGAAGAAGAGCGGGTGGACCGCCACGAGACAGAACCAGAGCCAAGGCTGAAGGTGTAACCCTGTGACGACCGCTGCGTAGCCAGGTCGTCCACCCAAGAAGCGTCCGAGTGACCAGTGAGGACAACTCTGTCGCGTCCTCCAAGCACCAGCCCCATGCCTGATGTACTGCACAAGTAACGCAGCACCCTCTTAGCAGCCTCCCAGTGCTCTCGCCTGTGTCTCCCAGGCGCAACGTAGCGAGCAAGGATGCTAAGTGGGTACGCGAGGTCAGGTCGCGTGCAAGTCATCAGGTACATGAGGCAGCCTACAAGCTCTGGGTACGGGCCACTCGGCTCTACGGACTCATCCGAAGGTGGAGCTGAGAGCGAGTGGCTGGTAGCCAGAGGTGTGGCCTGTGGTGAGGAGAACTGGAAGCCGAAGCGCTGAAGGACCTGCTGCACCATGTGTGACTGAGTCAGGGTGATGGTGCGGCGAGCTCTGTCCCGGGTGATCTGCAAGCCAAGGTAGCTACGCAGTTCACCCAGGTCAGTGCAGGTGTGTCTCTTCTGCAGCTCCGACTTCACACGAGCGAGTGCCTCAGTGTCAGCAGTAGCAAAGACCAAGTCGTCGACGTACACGAGAATGTAGAACGGCGGCAGCGACGTGTCGGTGCCCAGAAAAAGCGACGGGTCAGCAGTAGACGGCGCGAACCCAAGAGCCGCAAGTGTAGTCCTCAGTGTGTCGTGCCACTCACGTGGCGCCTGGCGGAGACCGTAGACTGGCCGGCGGAGGCTCCACTGGGTACCAGGAGGAAACGACCCAGTAAAGCCAGGTGGGCGGCGCAGCCAGATCTCCTCGTGCAGGCTGCCCTGCAGGAACGCTGTGCTGAAGTCAAGAGAGTGAAGCTCGTAGTCACGCTGAGCAGCAACGTGCAGCAGAACCCGAAGAGTGGTCATCTTCGGGGTGGGGGAGAAGGTCTGGAAGAAGTCGACCCCCTGACGCTGACTGAAGCCTCTAGCAACGTAACGAGCCTTGAAGACAGGCGGAGAACCTGGCGGCCGCTTCACCCTGAAAATCCACATGCCATCGACGATGTTCGCCCCAGGAGGGGGAACCTCGTCGACGTAGGTGCGTGTGGACTTCCAGGATGCCATCTCTGCGTCCATGGCTGTCTGCCACTGAGAGGAGTAGGGACCCGAGATCGCCTCTGCGTAAGTGCGCGGAGTGGGGATGTCTAGTGCATCCGGGTCTCCCTCAGGGGCAAGCAACCAGGCCACGAGATGAGGTACAGCAGCCGCGAGAGAGTCAAAGTCCTCCTGCCTGTCCTCAAGGACGTCCGTGCCAAGAGCACACTCACCCCCGACGGACGGAGGACAGACAGACTCAGACTCAGCAACAAGACTGGCGGCGTAGTCGAGGCGACAGGCAGCAGCAAAGTCGACAAGCTCAGCGACCAGGGCAGACGCAGCAGAAGACTCAAACGACGGGTCAGTGACAACAGTGGCGAGAAGACGCGTGACAGTAGGGTGGGCAGCACGAACACTGTCAGACTCAGGGTCGGGAACGTCAGGAAGAGAAGACGCAGGAGGAGACGGTAGGGGGACACGCTGTGGACCAGTGGAAGGACGAAGTGCCATAATGTGCATGCCAGGAACAGGAGGAGGACGCGGACGCGCGACACGACGGCTAGTGGGACCAGTGCGAGCAGTGCGAGCAGCGCGAACCGGCGAGGCAGGACGAGACGCAGGCTCACGACGCTCCGTAAGCGAGTCCGGCTGCGCCTTATAAGGCACAGGAGCAGGGAGGGGGGAGCCAGGCTGAAGGGGAAGGCCAGTGGAAGACGGGAGGGAAAGAACCTGGCGAAGCACCGTGTCAGGCGGCGGCAAAGCCGACGGCGACGGAGGAGCGAAGAACAGGCGCGACGGCGGAGCTCCGCCAGCACCTCCAGCACCCGGAGCACCAGAAGCACCTGGACCAGCACCCTCCGCCGCAGCACCCCCCGAGTCGGCGACGTCAGCACCAGAGGCCCCAGCAGCGTCAGACCTCCCCTCGCCAGCACCTCCAGAACCAGCAGGACCACCGTGTCCAGAACCGTCAGCTCCAGCGTCGTCAGCTCCAGCAGCTCCAGTACCGCCAGGAAGAGCACCCCCAGACGCAGCAACCCCAGGCTCCGTAGGCTCAGTAGCAGCACCCCCAGGCTCAGTACCCTCAGGCGCAGTACCCCCAGGCTCGGCACCCCCAGACTCCGTACACGCAGGCTCAGCACCCCCAGTCGTAGCACCCCCAGGCTCAGCACCCCCAGGCGCCGAACTCCCAGGCACAGTACCCTCAGCTCCAGCACCCGCAGTCCCAGCACTCCCAGGCCCAGCACCCGCAGGCTCAGCACCCCCAGGCTCAGCACTCCCAGCAGCACCACCTGCAGCAGCACCTGAGTCACCTGTGACCTCGACAGGCTCAGCGACGGGAGGAGGGTCTACCTGAGAGACACCTGAAGGAGCAGGACCCTGAGGGGGAAGGGGGTCTACCGGAGGGGGACCAGGAGCAAGGAAAAGCGGCGGGGGAGGGAGGGGGGCAGTGCGGTAGGGGAAGAGACGGTAAAAAGGGACCGACTCGTCAAAGGTGACGTCCTGAGAGGCGAAGACCCGGCGCGAGGTGGGGTGGTAAAACTGCCAGCCCGGCGCGTCAGGGACAAAGCCAAGGAAGACACAGGGAAGCGTGCGGGAGGAGAGCTTGTCCGCGGACGTATCGCGGACAAGGGCACGAGCACCCCACACCCGGAAGCGCGATGCATCGCCAACCTCCCCCGTCCAACGCAGTGTGGGCGAGGTCTCCGGCAAGGAGACACGGGGCCAGAGGTTGAGCTGATGCGCGGCGTACCGGACAGCAAACGGCCACAGAAAATGGGGAGCCGCCGCGTGGACCAAGGAGGTACGAGCGACCTCCATGACCAGGCCAATGCGGTGCTCAGCAACCCCATTCTGCTGTGGGGAGTCCGGAAGCGTGAAGGTCTGCTCGATGCCCTCCGCCTGACAGAAGGTCCTCAAGAGATCGGAGGAAAACTCACCACCTCTGTCAGAGTGCAGACGCAGGACAGGAAGATCCGTCCGGAAACGGCGGCGGAGCTGGAGACGAACTGTGCGGATCCAAGGGATCAGAACAGCAGGGACCTCACCCTTGGTGCGCAAGGGGAAGACCGTGGTGTAACGCGAGTAGTCGTCGACAACCAGCAAAAAGTACCGCTCACCGCCCTGGCCACGAACGCGGGCTGGGCCCCACACGTCCAGGTGGAGGGTCTGCAGAGGAGCCTCTGTCGGGGGAAAAGGAGGAGGAGTGAGGAGCGGCGCACTGCCGCCCCTCGACGCAAGGAAGGCAAGGCGGCGCAGGCGAGGCAGGGAGGGGAGGGAGGGACCTGGGAAGACCAGACACAAGGCAGCGACGGTGCATGCCACGGAGGCGTGGCAAGGAGGGGTGACCCAGGCGGTGGTGCCAGAGAAGAGTCTGGTGCGACAGGGAACGACACTCACAGGCGTGGGCCACCAGACCTGACGCGGACACCTGACCGACAGCAGCAACCTGAGGAGACGCAGTGGTCAGTGTGTAGAGACTCGACCCCGGCCGACGGGTAAACGTAGCCAGGTGACGGCCGGTCCTGGAGCACGTGCAGATCGCCACACGCTGTCCTCCAGGGGTAAAGGTGTCAACCCACTGATCCTGGATGACAGCGTTGCTCACCAGGTTCGTCGAGAACGAGGGGAGGTGGAAACCCGACAACGAGCCAGACGGAACCGCCGGACAAGGGAGGACAGTGGTGGACTGGGCAAGGACTGGGCCCCCAGAGGGGTCAGCCAAGGAGACTGGGACCGGTG